CCCCCCCCTTTTTTTTTTTTTTTAATAAGTGTGAAGGGTTTGCATTTGTCTTTGCCCTAGTAGCCTTTGGCACCAGCCCAATCTGTGTTCCATACATCATTAAAAGCTGCTCTTGCCATGCTCCTATTCCACACTGCCCCATTCTGCTAGCAGTTTTCAATATAATCCAAATACATTTTAAAGAATTATATTCACAGTCTAGCAGTAAAGCAGACCAAAGCTTGATGTTCAACTTCTCCACCTATATCCTTCCTAAGTCTTCAATAAAACAGGGTTATGCCAATAGAGCCAGATGATGATGAACAAGGCGACAGTGTGTATCTATCACTCTTACATCCACCAAACCCACAGGCCTCTTTCTCATGCTGTGGAAGGTGCCCATTCCCTTCTATCCCCAAGAAGTTTTATCAGACAAGAGCTCATACCAATAAGACAGCAATTTGATTTCACTGAACTTAGCTAAAATGAGTAAGGCTAACGCTGTATGACAACCACTGTCTGTACTCAGTGGGGAAATGTATGGGTCAGTGTTTTGAAACAAAAGTACATTTCCCCTTTTCCTCTCAAGCATTTACAGCTCATCAGACAACACTGTCTCTTGCCGATTGCTGTTGCACTGTAAATCAGAAGCTTGTACTCCATGGAAGCAACTTTTCTGCACTGGGCTTTAGTATCCCTCTTCAGAACCTAGATAAGTTTATCCTGATCTAAATACAGAGCCTTTTGCATGTATCTGAAGTCCTACAGTACAGGAAAACAGCTCCCTCAGTCTGCAGTTCCCTGGGAAAGGGAAAAACAGTTCTTACTATCTCAAGAGCTCCCCAAACACATTTTTAGGTGGCATCTCAAAAATGCCAGTCTTATTTGGCAATATGCTCTTAATAGTAAGATAACAAGCACCTACCTTACGAGGTTATTAATCTTATTTAGCACACTTGTAAAAGCCATCCAGCAGCAGCTTTCATCCAGATACTGGATAAAAAGTAAAAAAGTAAGATAGAGACTGTCCAGGACTGAAGGATGACCCGTAGCCTGTAACTACCTCCCACTTGCAGACTCCAACACATATGTATGTAGCATGCCCCTGGAGTTTTCTTTTATTGTGCTGGAACGCATTTGTCCAGCACTTAAACAAGAGAGCTTACTGTCCTAGGACAAAACTTGAGACATTGTTTTCCAATAGGAAAGCACTCGGGGACTTCAAACTCATTTCTATGCCTCAAAGCATGTAGGCACATCAGTGATCAAGATGACTTCTTATAACAGGCACTAAGCACAAACTGTGGCTAATGGCTTATTTGTTGCACGCTGGTCTCCTCTGCATAGCTACACAATTCACTTGCAAACATCCTGATATCCCAACACCTTCCAAAGAGACCTCAGCAAAATTATTTTTTGCTATCAAACTTTATTCATACTTTCTACTCCTGAGGCAATACTTTAGATGAACAAGCAATGGCTTCTTGACACTGATCGATCTCAATATGCTGTGGACTACTACATCAAAAAGCGGTCACTTTAATTTCATAAAATGCTTTGTACACATAATACAGTTGAGTATGACATTGTCTACTAGTTGACAAAGCCTTGCTGTCTGTTTCATGCATCTCAACATCATTTCTACAAACCCTCAGAGTCCTGCAGCTTTTGCAGAGGAAGTCCTAGGATTATTTTTTTTTTTTCCAAAGACCCATTAGCAGAAAGCGTAATACACATTTCAGCTTGCCAAATGCATATACTACCACCCTTCTCAACCTGCTTAAACAGCTGAACACAGGCAGTTTTTGAAGCCGCATACAGGCAACTGTGCATTCTCTAAGAAACAAGGGGTAGGCAAGTTCAGCAAGTGTCAATAAGGGAGATATTCATTTCAGAGATCTGCAACAGGCCAGCTGGAGGTGCAAAACTCTCCTGCAAGACTGCATTCACAAACATATATAACTGCCATCTGCTCCAGTGCTATGAAACAACCCCATGCATCCACAAGCATAAACAATCTCTTGCATATGTAAAATTTAGTGGCACATGGGCACGTTCCTGCACAACTTTCAGCGTCTCCACTTCCTAACTCCAAAATGACTGTCTTTATACCTCGGTAGATAGGGAGCAAGACTGGCATAGCGTTAAGCAGTCTAACCACTGGTGATCACCCCAGGCTAAAACCCTGTGTGCATCAGGCTAAAAGCCTGTACCAGTCTACACACATCACAGATCCAAAGCTGATGCCAAACCGTAAACAGCAGTTTCACTACCAATGTCACTCTGTGCCCTCCCCACCACTCTCCATCTGTGAAGTCTGTGAGTGCTCATCCTTGAGCATGATCACTAAAGTAGTTTGCATGACCATTTTTTGTCCGCTTCAGTGGAAAACTCTTCCAACTTAGCAGCCTTAATTGTCTAAGAGTTAAACTTGCTGGCAGTGTAATTGAAAAGATGAAGAATGCTGGAAAAAGAAACAGGAAGAATCCATACCACAAAGGAAGCAGTAAACACCTAAAAGACATAAACTCTAAATACCTGCAGCTACATTTATCCTGTGATTACTCTGCAAGTCACAAGCAGTTCTCATTCTCATGTTCCTAAAGGTAGGATACATCCACAATATTAAGAGGACCATACTGACATTTAAATGTTGAATTTCAATTAGTTAATCTGAAAGCATTATAAATAGTTGTATTTTACTTAATTTATAAGAAGAAATAGATGTTACATAAAAAAATAAATTATTCCCCTCGATTCCAAGAAATTAGTTGACTTTCTGATATGAACTGCTTTAAAAAAATAAACAAACAAAAACCACAACATCCAGAAAACAGGAGATTACACCGCAGTGTGCAGCATACTTATGACAGCTAATAATTCAAAGACATGTAAAAGCATTATTCATTATAATATATGGAATGAAGATGAAAAAGCAAATAGGACAACTTTAACTGACCTATGAGTATGCAGTTAACAGCCCATTTTAAAAACAGCATTTTTATTCTATCTAACAACACCTTATTTGCCAGTACCTCAGCTGTCTAGGTTTTGAACCAAATTAGCAAGAAACTAGCAAGAACAGTATCAGCTGGCCAAAAGCAATCATAGTCATATCATATAAGTGATGCTAACCTCCCTCATATTTGTAGCAACAGCAAGTTCCAGAGAAGATGCAAAATTCAGGTGGCATAAACTTATTTTTCCAGAACAAAAGAGATTAAAATATACAAACCAAAACAAAATAAGATAACAGAGGAACACAGTAAGAAGCATAATGGCTCTTCTTGCTCTGATGATGACAGCTTCCCTAGGAGAAAGATCACATTCTCTTCAAGATGGAAGAGCATCTCTATTTGTACAGCATGCATCACACAGTATCAGTGATAATTTTCACTAAAGTACAAATATCCACAGTTATATTCTATATGTTTACAGAACTCATTAGGAAGCAGTCTTATCCATCAGATTAATTCCAATGATTAACAAATTATATATACACACACACTGCAGCTTAAAGACAGGAAATTCTCAACTGCAAATGCCAAATTTTTTTACACATCTTCCAGTTTTCACAACAGAACTTCATTAAATACTCCAGTGTTCCAAGTCTAAGGTAAATAGAAAAATCATGAACAGATTTTTAAAATGCCATACAAGTAACATTTTTTTCAGCTAAATAACTTACATCAACACCAATGTGTCCAAGAAATTAATCTCAAAATAAGAACTAATAAACTACAACCCATTATAAAATCATGTTGTACTAGAGAACAAAGGCATCACCGTAAGTTTCTTTCTAAAAATTATTGTCATTACATTACACAATGTATTAGCTGACAGCCTGATACATTCTATCCACTGAAATAATTCCATTTGAATTCTAATCCTTCCAGAGCTGTCTTTACCTGTAGTGCTTCATACCAATTCAACTATACATTGACCATATAATTTTTTTTAATGTACCTACTTCAATAAATCTCAAATACATTATTATAGTTAGTTTTCTAGCCTCATGCATCTTGAAAAAATGGTCAGTGCTCATTCTGAAGTACAAAATAAACAACTGTTTTGATAATATGTAAATGTTCATTCAGTTCTACCACATAATAAAAAAATACTGACACACAATAGATAAACACTATTGATCACAACTATGTTTAATTTATTTTAATGAAAGGATTATGGCAATTAATTTTTTTAATGCATAGTGTAATCTAATTTCAATTAAAAGCTGACTATTTAAGAAAACTTGTTCAACCTTAATTCTTCCAGAAGACAAAGGGCTTTTTGTCAGTTACTAGCAGAACACATTCTGTAAGTCATTAATACTGTCAATTAACAGACAGCCATCAAAGTTGTGTGCCAGTTAAGGTTTACAGCTAAGAAAACAACCACCATGAATTCCTCAAACGAGCAGCCCTTAACCATAAGCATACCAATTATTAAACAGTAACTCCTCGTATTAAAGAGACATAACCTGGTAAGTAGGATGCAGTTTGTAAGTCATTTGCTAGTTTGCCTTAAGGATACCTTACACCATATTGGATACTACACACTTTTAGCATTATAGAATAGTGAAAATGACAATAAATATATTTACACAAAATTCAACGAACTGGCAACCATAGTACAAAAACTTGCACACTACACAAAGGCAGGAATTAAGAAACTACAGCTCACATGCTCAATATGACCTAATTGGGTTGTGATTTTTTTTAATTATCATTCTATTATCACCACACTTTTATTGGTTCACACTACCTGAGAGGTTAACAGGTAGCCTAAAAGGCTTATTTGACACTTAACTAGAAAAACATCTCCCTACTCAAAATATAGTTACATGAGCTAGAATCTTCATCTATTTATGGAATTTAAATAAGGATTATCCATTTGAAATGCAAGAACAACACATTTTTAATAATACTATTTTGTTGAAAAGTATGACAACTAGCCCAAAATCCAGTAGACTTCAAAGCACACACAAAAAGATGCTCTCATTTCCATTAACCACTTCAGTTGTTGAACTGTTCCTGAAATATCAGCAATGATTATCCACCTCTTGAATACTTAAAGTAGAACACTGTTGATAAACGCCACCATCCTTGATCTGAAATCCAAACTTCATTTCTCCTCTAGCTTTGAAGGGAATCCAGGAGTTATTATGCTTCCATATCTGTATGGCGCTCTGCTATACACAATAGTTATTGCTGGAAGCTTCTAACTTGAACAAGAACCCATGGAACCAATTTTCATATCCTTTCTGACACAAGCTCAGGCTTATAGCCCAGGCTTGGAAGTAGTGTATGCTCCACTACAACACTATCTTCCATGCATTTTCTTAACATAATGTTATTTGCTCCCTGTAGGCAGGCAGCATCTCCAGAGTTTCCAGGTTTAGGAAGCCTCCAAGACACAACTCAAGCAACCCACGCTCAAAAAGAACAACGTTTAAACAGCGACCCTCAAGGACTCCTGCTTGAAATTTTTAATAGGGGCTTTTCACATCGAAGCAGAGAGAAACTCTATCCATCCACCCTGTCCCACACCACCCGGCGGCTGAATGTTTCCAGCGGGTTTGGCAGCAGCAAGAGAGCTCTTGCGGCCACACGGTATCTACGAGGCCGAAACCGCACAGCCGGGCGCCAGGCTCCCTGCAGCGGCCGAGAGCTCCCCTCCCTCTCCCCGCCTGGACGATCTTGCAACTCCTGCGCCCGCCGGGCAGACCTCAGGCGGCGGTCAGGCCTCGGGCCCTCGGCTCCGCGTCGAGCACGTACCGGCTCTACCACGCAAGGCAGGCGCCGGCGCCCGGTCCTCACCGGCGGCACCCGGAGGAAAGAGCGGGGCCCGCCGCCAGGCCGTGACGCCGAGAGAAGGCCCCAGCCGGGAACACCGGCTGGCAGCGGCAGCGAGAGGGGACGAAGCCCGTAAAGCCCCAGCCCCCCCGCGCTCCGCGGGGCTGTTAACCGACGCCGACGCCAGCCAGCGCTCCCCCCTCCCCACTGCGCGAGGTGTGCGCGGACAAGAGGCTCTCCTTCACCCCACCTTAATCTTATTGAGCACCCCGCTGCTCTCCAGCGTCTGGACCAGCAGGTCCCGCAGCTCTGTGTCCTCCTCCGTCGCTGCGGCCGCCATCTTGTTTCTCCCTGACAACCGCCCAAACTGCGCTAGCAGTAAGACGAGCACGGCAGATTCGCCTCCGCCGCCGGGGGAGGCACCAACCCAGCGGAGGACCCGAGGATACGAGGCGCGGCGGGCCGGCGGCCACCCTCAA